ATGTTGGTAAATAAAGTCTTAATTTGACCATATTATATGTGATAATAAAACTCTAGATAGTAGATCTAGGCTCTGTTTTATGCGCTAAACCAAAACAAAGAAACTGCAGAGTTCTCAAATGAAAGTAGAAAATATTATTCGAATTCTACATGCCGGAATGGTTTTTTGAAATTTAAGAACCCTTCCCAATTTTTTCATTTTCTCTTTCAAAATAAAAGAAAAAGAATAACTGTGTCCACCCATGTAGAAAAAAAGATGCACAGATTCCTTTCTCACATACGCCTACAAAATTTTTTTAAGTTGTGAAACTTACTGAGTCATGCTGAGGAAGCTGTTGTATCGATGGTATATTTAATGATAATGATTTTGTTTCTAATGACGGTAACTGTTCAAGCGAAGATTTGTTTGATTCAATAAACAATAAACCTCCTCGATACAACTGTCCTAATATTGATTCAGATCTGTAGGACGGTTTACTCGAGTTTTGCAAGAAATCGGGGTACGAATAACCAACAGTTTTTCTTATAGATTGAAGTTCTTCTCGATCAATGATTGCGCCTGTCTTACTCGAATCAATGGCTATTGAAAAGAGATTAGCAAGACGAATTGCTGTTTTTTGACATGTAGGTTGATTATTTTTTTCCTGATTTTTATCAACAACAATCATATGTAAATTGTATATTTCACCCTTTAAAAACCAAACAGAAACAAGTTAAGAGAAAGGTAAAAAAGCAGTTAGACAAATACTGACAAAACTACGTGCACCGAACGTTGATAGGATGTGATCAATGATAACATCTGCAGTAATTGGATTAAGATGATCTTTCTTAGGGAAACTGGTGTAGGCCAATGGTGGTACTTTTTTTTGAGGATCCAAATGAAATTCTGATCCCCAATACACCTATGGTAACACAACGAAAGCAGAAATTAGACAAAATAATACATGTTATAACAAGAATAATTCTTCCTACCCAATAATGATCACCATCCAGGTCTGATCCTGCAATTTCATCGAAATGAGGTCTTTCACCTTCAACTGGAAATACGATCACATCTTTCAAATCATACAATTCTGGAATATCAACTGCCCACAATTCTATCATATCTCCTGCATATGGACACGGATTTTTTGTAACTATAACACGGCCTAAAACCACAATTTAACAGCTTGTTAGACAACTATTCAATTCCATTAGAAATCAAGAATATTTTTCACCTTGAACACATGCAAATCGATTTGTTTGTTGTCTATTATCATCAAGTATTTCGTAGCGAATAAAGCATTGACCAGGCTTCAACGGCGATTTCAATGAACACCCAAACATATAACGACATTCATTTTTTGGCAACGGATACTTATTTTTCTTTATATCATCATTACTAAATAAAAAGAAAATCTATTTTCAAATCTATTTTCTCTTGGTAAAAGATTCACATTGATGTATACCTAACAGTATGATCATCAGATTGAAAATAGCGTTGTTGTATTTTTAGAAATGTTTCATTAGGTACGCCAAGATCAGACAATAATAAAATAATTTGGTTATTTAACGCTGTTGGTACTATACAAAAGAAAACATTCAAAAAAGTATTATGTCAATTTTTTTCACTTTGAACGTCCTTACTTGGTTTACTCCATTCACAAATATCCAAGGTCCAATCGTCAGACTCAAATTTTACCATTGATCGCCGAATTTTAATATAAAATTGATCAAATGTTGATGATGGGTCAATAATGACAAGACCTTTACATCCGGCAAGACGTATTTGATATGCAGATGAACCGGTTGAAGTCTAAGAAAAAATCAGGAGATCATTTATTCCAAGAGAATAGTTATTATAAAAGTAATATTATATCTACTTGTTTATCAAATAATTTTTTTTCATCGATTTTTTTAGCTAAACCTTTTGATATTAAACCATTACCATCCGTAAAGTTGTAACCGTTATGTTTAATATCGTCGATCATTATTAGACACGGTTGAGATTGTTCTACACATTGATTAAAGTCTTCTTCATTTGTACAATAACGAAGCTGAAACTAAAAAGAAACAAAAATAATTTATTTTAAATACTTTTTCTAAGAGTTTAAGTAAGGCGCTCCAAATTCGAACGTCCAGCACTATTTTATTTTCACATCATTCGATAGAGAATTTGATACTGATTAAGAATATGTCACTTTGAATTATTTTAGTGCGCGTTATCATCGAGAAAAATTCAAATACCGAGAGGGACTCTATTGTCGAAATCCGCTAACTTTTTTTAAAAATGGCGTAACTTTGTTCCAAATAGATTTGGAGCTTCACAAAGATGTTTTTCTTGATCAGCGTCTAAAACTGCATCTAGAAAAGTATATTTGAAGGTTTCTGATGAAACAATAACTTCTGGGCATGTCGCTTTTCATGTACACCTTTTGTTTGCCGGTACTCATCCTGCAAGCCACGTGCAGTCTTTTGGTTAAAAGCGAGAGACAAGTTTTATAAGCCATTCGCTTCGCCGTTCAATTTAGAACAAAAGTATGAAGCACTTTTTTCGAACTTTTTTTCATTCTTCAGAAACTACACTTTTTCTGAATCAGGAGTGGAAAAATAGAAATTCTGCCCGTAATTCTCTATTTTCTCCATCAGAAGTCATGTCTTATGCAATAAAAATATCATATTCGAAGTTAGCGTCGAAAAGTGAGTCGAATGATATAGTTTCTTAATCCAATTCTACCCACCTTTGTTTTTTTCGAATTTCACGTCGAAAAATTACTGAGATGAAAAAAATGAAAATCAATCAAAAATTTCGAACATATATCATTCGAATCACTTTTCGACACTACCTCCG